CGTAATTAATTATTTAATTTAATATTTATAATATTTATTTATTCTAAATTAATCTTAAAACTTAGATTCTTAATTTATAAATAAGCTTAATTTCATACGTCGACAATTAGACTTCGGGCCTCGTATCGTGAAATCTAAGTTACGCTCTTAAGATAAGCGTTGCATTATTTTATGAAAATAAGTCTTCTCAAAAATCTTTAGAATCTTTATTAAATCTATCTAATGTTCTTATCTAATCCGCAATGATAGGCAAATCCAGGTAGTTATCTGAGGTTGCATAATGAAGATAACAAGTGTTTTCAGCCTAGGCGTAAACGCTGCGCCAGGGAGGCGTTAAGGGATTTCTTAGGACACGGTTTACCTCAGCTTACTTGCCTAAGCCTCATTAACAAGACACCTTTCGATTAAAGCTATAAGTCTCTTTATCACACGAAATGAATACCTAATATTGAATCATGAGACGGTGCGGGATGGTTGACTGGTACAATACAATGGCCACGTCGATTATTGGCATTCCCCTTAATCTCCGTTTAAAGGGGCTAATCATTTGACGCGGAACCGTATACCTAAACGAGTTGCGGCGAGCCTGGCAGCCAGCCGCAGCTTTGCATCGGCGTTTTCCTTTGATGTGCCAATCCTGCATCCTTCAGGAGGGTAGCAATTTTTACTGAGGCACATACAGATTCAAAAGTATGTAGATCTGAATCATCTCCTCTTTCTCTTATGTGAATTTTGTGATACGTGTCTGCGATCAGGGATGTCGATTGTTCTTCTCAAAGGCCTTCAATCTTCTAAACTTTGACTTTTTGAGATTCACACGACATGTGTAGAACACATCGATTTGTTGGTTGTGCACTGCTAGCATTTCTGGACAGAGGCGTATTGGGCGATGCCGTCTCTGCCCCCAAACCGTATAACTTCTGGAGTCGAGATTCTGATAGAGCGATGAATGCCAGCGGGCCTCAGACCACGGCAAATGGCACCTCGTTGTACCCGGATTCTAACTTCAATGTTTCAGAAGAGTGCGTCCTTTGGGACAATACATGTCACGGCGACAAGCAAAATGCGGCATCTATCTTCTTCGGAAAGACTTTAGCGGCCTTGTTGGAAAACGAATGCTTTACTGTTACAGACAGATCTTCGGATGTAGTCGTTGGGCTCAATCAAGTGATAGATGAAGAACAGGCTCCCTATGATCCAGCCGAGTGTCCGGGCGGCATTTCCGGCATACCGCCTGCTACCTCATCAATGTGGTCAAGCCTGAAAGGCTGGATGAGGGAGCCTGCGTGTGCATCTTCCTCCCTGTTATACGGGTCAGCAGTCCGCCAGCCGCCAGCACAAGACGCCATCTATGGTTGCTGCGGGCCTTGCGCGATTGGTGGTCCTAATGTTGACGTGTACTACTGGCCATCACCCGAGGCCAACACTTCGTGCTTGAATATCATTGGTACGAGCGTCAACCCACCGACTGAAGGCGCAACCACGGCCGGCGGCTACACGTACTGGGGCTATACGCCTATAGATGCCAACATATACACGCAGATTGTTACCACCATTGTGTATACTTCGATTAACGGCATTTACTTCAAAATGCCGATGTCGAACCCCTGGGAGTCTAAACCAGGCGCGAGCACCAGTAATAACCCTGGAATGTGGAGTTTGCCGTCAACGACACTTCCTAATTGGAGCACGCCGAAAATCCAACGACGCGCGGAATCGTCGGAAGCAACGATCCAAGCTCGTGCGAATCCCATTGCCATATCAAACCCGCCCCACGCCCCGATGAATGGATCGAAGTGGGACACTATAAGGAATGACTCCTTCCCAAATAGTATTGTTACGTCCGGCAGTCATACTTTTACTTCTCCTTCCATTTACGTCAACTTTTATAGCCTGAGCGCAACTGATTCCTGTGGGTATCGAGGCAATAACATCAACTCTACGCTAGTTGCATTTGCTCCAGGAGAGCTCTCGACCGTCGCGACTGCCATGTATCCCGCACTCGAATCTACTATTACTCCGGCATCCATCTACAACTTCGATAACCTGCCATGCCCGCCAATGAGCGTCATGTGGAGTCAGTGGTATAAACCAGAACCTGGGGAGCCTTATCGTCCCCTAATCGTCTTTCCATCCAAGCTTCTCGACATGGATCCTTTGTGGAAGGTTTGCACCCAAGGCTATTTCACGGGCTACGATCCACCGAGAACGCTCGATCCAGCAACCGCGATGGTACCTAAGGTGACTCCGCCGTCGAACCCTAATCCAGATCCAAGGCCAGCAACGCCTGCTGCGACACAAGAGAATTTGCCAAAGAGGACCACTACACCCGCTGATCCTACTAAGACGTCAGGTGATCCCTCTTTAGCAAAGAGCCATAGCAGTGGTGGCATGCAAGTGGACCCGTCACAGCAAACAGACCCACTCAGAGGTACGAAGAAAGCTCCGGCCGATCCTTCATCGAACAATCAAGGCAATGAAGATCTGCAGGGACAGTCTTTACAGGAGGAGCCTGCTTCCAGTGATCTCAAGAATGGTCCCACAAATCATGCGTTGCCAAATAATGCGGTCAACAGCGATTTAGATCAGCCAGCAAATAACATGCATGCATCCGGAGGGCCCTCAATGGAGGATGTAGGCACACTACACCAACCACAGCCGCTTGCAACATCAGCTCCAATTTTGATGACTGCTGTATCAGGCAGTCATCATGTCTTAGCAACAGTTGAGGGCTACAATATTGACGGCGTAGATATCAGACCTGGCGGTAGCGCACCCAATGTTAGGGGGCAACAGATCGCTGTTGACTCGAGCAATGATCCTCAAATTGGTGGTCAAACAGCACACACTGAGCCGGTAGTATCCTTAGTGACCACCGCAATCGCAAACCACGTGGTTACACCCTTGCCGAAAGGTGTCGCCATTCAAGGGTTTACACTCAACAACGGGGGTCCTGCAACGATCGTTGCCAGTACGACATTCTCTGTCGACACATCGGGCAACATGTTTGTGAATGGCCACTCCTATCGTATAAACAACGATAGCCCCGTACCCATGACGATAAACGGGGAAGTAGTCATACCTCTGCCAACGGGGATATCTATACACTCCGCAACTCTCACGCCAAACGCGCCAGCTCTTGTCATCTCAGGTACCTCTTACTCGCTTGATTCGTCCAGCAATCTACACTTTGGCGGCTCAAGCTACATGTCAATCGTCAAGATCGCCGATGTCGACCCGACTCAGGTAAACACAATCGCTGGCCAGCCTGTAATCGAGCTTGCAGCGGGCGTTTCCATAGCCGCCACAACGCCTAAAACTGGTGCTTCAGCAATCCAGGGCCTGTCCGGCGTGCCCATAACCCTAGACTCGTCTAATCTAGTTGTTGGCTCTGTTACGATACCCGTGCAGAACAGTTCTTCCTCGGGATCTCTTCCGGAATTGATCTCAGGCGGGTTATCTAGCCAAACAACGGATGGGGTCAGTAACCCTGGAAACAAGAATGGTAGTAGTCTGCTGGCTTTTACGGGTGGCTCAGGAGGGCGAAAGCGAGACTTCAGCATGTTGCTGTCAGGGTTGATTGGGGCCTGGACTATCATTGTACTACTAAGTTCTTGAGTATTGATGTAAGTCGGTGGGAGAGGGGCTTTAGGCTAGTCAAAGGGATTGACTTGGTAATTCGTGGAGATTGGATTAGCCTCGCTTCTTCATGCAGCAGTATGGGGGCTGGCTCGAGAACGCTAAGCATCGTGGGCGGAGATGATAGAGTGTAGGGTCAGTGGCTCAGAATATCAATTTCAGCTTGTATTTATATATCGCTCGGACTTAATTTACATAATATAGCTACACTACTCGTTTTTTCTCGCGGTTCCGTTCTATCAATAATTAGATGATTAATTTATAATCTTATTAGGTGAACAGCACTACCTCCACTGCTCCGCAGGTTCTTGACAATGCCGCACTCATCAGCCATGGAGGCAACGCCACTCTTGCAGGTACCGCAAGCGACCCTGATGACCCAAAGTTTCCGATTGATTATGAATACGGTGGCGTAGTCCCTAGACAGGATCTCTGGGCCTCTGTCCTGGACGGTATGGCAACCGCTGCGCAGTAGGAAGCTAGGGCTCGCTGTATATTCATCACTGCTGTCAGTATCAGTGGCAATCTAATCTTCCACATCAACGAAGACTCAAATCATATTTTGAGCTGTGATGTAACGATGAAGACTTTTCGTCTTGTAGCGCTCATTAGCATGGGACGCAGAGAGTACAAAGAACAGGAAATGAGTCTGTTCTGTGATGGGGACAGCTTGCTGAAGGGTATGTTTTCAATCTTGGAAAGGCAGCACTCGGGGGTGGTGGTGAGCCAATGAGCAATGAATGATGAGTCTTTATTGGGTGTCGAAGCGTTGGTCCAGAGATGGACGTACAGTGATAGTCTTGCCATCAGCATTTCGGCACGTTCTAATTAGATGTCTCGAGGTTAATCCAAAGCTTACGTCGCGAACTGTAACCCATAATTTTTGTCTCAAGTCCGCTTTTCTCTCACCCCTTCATCCCCTAACCATTCAACCCTCCTCCACCCCTCCCCTCTCAACCCCACACCACCGATCACACCACCCCAGCAGGACCTGATGCCACCTCAATGAGTTCTCTCTGCCCAGCACAAAATGATTTTCCTCCGGAAAATTCAGAAATTTACTTTCAACCCCCCTGCCCTGGCACACATTGAACGCTGCCAATCCCTCCGTAATCGGACATCTGTAGTCTTTGTCAGAATGAATAAACAGCATGGGCGTAGTCCAATTGGCAGTGTGGCGGGAGGGATCGTATTTGTCGTATTCGGATTGGTGGGACCAAAGAGGGCCGCGAAAGTCGGTGGGGAGAGTTGAGGTAGCGTCGGAGGAGAGGAGGTTGGGGGAAGAGAAGATACCGTCGTGAGAGATGAGGGCACGGAAGCTTTTGGAGAGAGGTTGGCCGGCGATCCTGGGGGGTGGAGGGTTAGTTGGTGGGGTTTTCTGATGGCTGATGTGTGCGTGTGGCGGTGGAACTTGCAACACTGTGGTGGGGGATGGAGGAAATAGGGGAGGAAATATACCAGTTGACCATGTAGCCGCCATAACTTCCTCCCATGGCTACAACGCGTTCTGTGTCCACAAAGGGCATATCCTCTTTGACATACTCGAAGCAATTCACCAGGTCCTTGTACGCGCGACCACCCCATTCGCCGACAATGCCCTCGATATACCCCTGTCCAAATCCCGTCGATCCTGTGACATTAGGCATTATGACAATGTACCCTTGCTCAGCGAAAACGGCGGCGTTCCATCTGTAGCTCCAAGCGTTCGGCCACGAATAGACAGGACCACCGTGGATCCAGAAGAGCATTGGGTAGGTCTTGTCTTCTGAGAAATCTGAGGGTTTGATGACGAATGCTTGCACTTTGTAGTCGCCTGCACCTTTAAAGTCGATTGAGGAGACTTGTGGAGGACGATAGCCAAAATCGGGCTTGTCATGTAAATGGCTGAACGAGCAGGTATGATTGTCGGTTGACGGGTCGATTATTCCAAAGACGCTGGGGGAAGTAATGGTTGACATGGTGAAGAGGAGCCGGGTAGGGGAGAGAGCGTGGAGCGAGGAGACTACACCCTCGGCTGTAATTGGCGTCGGAATCGCCAAAATGATATTGTTTGAGTGAGATCTGATTTGAATCTTGAAGACTCTCTTGCTGCCGCGGGATTCTGCAATTATGTAAAGCTCTTTGGCGTCGCTGCTGAAGGTGAGGGATTCGGGCCGTAAATCCCATTTCTCACTGCTCGTGGATGTTACGACCTCAGTCATATGATCTAAGCTGTCGATATTACCCACAATAATGATACTCGAATTATCGTATGCATTACTTGAGTCCTTTGTTTGCAGAAATGCGGCAGATTTACCGTCATGAGAAAACGTTGGTGAGCCACTGGTGCCGCTGAATCCAGGCATGGACACTGTCCGAGGTGTCGGCGCTGGATCTTCCTTGAAAGTGCTCAGTGGAACAAAATAAAGACTGTTCTTTTCCATGAGAACTGCATTGACTGAAGGGTCCTTTGCATTGAGAAGAATACCACTTGTCCCAATCTCAGAGTCTACACCGTAGAAAGGGTTTGGGTGTACCAAATTGGTACCCTGAAGAGCATTGATGAAGCCAGTTTGTGAAATCATGTAGCGATTGATGTTCTCGGGAGATTTCTCAAGCACCGTGTACCAGATAACGCTCTTCTCTGCTGTGAGGTAAGTATCCCAGACTCGGACGGGGAACGTATCGTATTCTCTAGCAGAAGACTGGGGTTTCACGGCTTTCTCAGCATTGTAGAAGCTTCCGTCCAGAGATGCTTTCCCTGTCACGGTGACGGCAAAAGATCCATTGAGGAGTCTCTTTGTCTTCAGATTGGAGGCAGCACCATCGATCGTGGCAATAAGATATGCACTGATGACTTGAGCCAATACATTGAGATTCTAATGGAAGTGGACATACTTCTTCTCTCCGACGACCACGCCAGACCATACTTCCGTTGTGCCTCCCTCAGCTTCTCGCAGCCATAGGACACAATCATTGCCTAGCCATTGGATGTCCTTGACTTTGGAGTCATCGGAAAAGAGAGCCGTTGTGCCGTTCTCAAGGTCGAGAACCCTGATTTCTTTGCCTTCCGAGTGAGAGTCCAAAGAGTATATGGACAAGGTGTATAATGCAAGTCGTCCATTTTCGTTGGGCACTGCTGATGATCGGCGGGGCGCAGATATGAAGCTTCTATAACATTTTCTGGGTCAAGTGTTCGTACCAGCGCGAAATGGAACTTACTCTAATGTCAGCTTTGTGATTTTGTGGATCGTCATTGTGGATACCCAAATCAAGATTTTTGATATGAATTGAGGTGGGGGAAGTATATGTCACTAGCCCGAGGAATAGCGTCATAGGCCACGTGACATCAGCCCCACTCTAGTACCCCCAGGATTAACCCTTTGACTCCTTCTATCCTTGACGTATCAGTAATTTAAAGACGTATAAAAAGCTTCTACTGAGACATTAGCTCTCTTCTGGCTTTGTATATAGCCCTCGGCTTTCCCTTCCAACCCCATATCTTACGCATACAGGTGACCTGCAGATATCACGGTCATAAGCAGATAACTACTTTCATATGCTATGAAGCTGACATTCGCCGTAGCTTTGCGCGAATTCCTATCCCCTCTTTCGCCCTGCCCGAGATTATCTACAACATTCTTCATCCACGTAATTACTTGAATAGAGATCAAGCTGCAAGCTACCCGGGAGAGGAGTGTATGACCATTCTTATTCCACAGCCGGCTCCTGTAGCTGCTCGATACCCACCTGCACCTCCTTCGAGCTCACAATCTCCCGTTCATCGTTGGCCGAGGAGTCGACCACGATATCTCGTCAACGTCCGCAAATCAAACGGCCCTTGTCTTTCGCCGGGCATACTGGGCTATAATTCCGCGTATAGTTTGAACTACGGACCAATCTCTTTGACGAGGCTTGGGGAGGAAATACGTCAAGGTATGAAGGAGTGAAACTGATGTAGAGTAGACACGCTTGATACGGACATATTTCGCAATACATTACTAGCCATAGGTTATGTTCGGGTAGGTGCGTTAGATTATCTCAACCCCTTCGATGCTAATTCTAAATAAAGCTAACTTAAGTTTATATATATAGAGTGGCGATAAAGTACTTGGAAAAGAAGAAGAATATATATTATTATATATATTTAACGCGGTAGATTACGATAAATCGATAACGAGTAGAGATATATTATAACTTATCTGTGAATAGTTCCCTCTTAGAGATCTTATAGTTTTCTTTATAGCTAAAATAAATCTTTTAAGTAAATAAACTTTAGTTACTATTACTCTTAAATATAGCTCTTATTAAATTTTAATATAAAATTATATCTATACGAGTAAAGGCCTATGAATTAAATTCATAATCATTTTTTTAATTAGGGCTCTCGAGTAAATTTTAGTTAGCGATCTTTAGTGAGCGATATCTGAATTCCTTGCCTTTAAATATCTATAAGACTAAATTTAGTAATTCTTTTTTTCTCTAGAAGCTTACATTTCGTTCTATAATTTAAAAAAATAATCTTAAAATTTAAATAGAAAATCAAAAAGTTATTCTAAAATTAAATAATATATATCTATTTTTTTATTAAGGCTGTTCGGCTATCGAGCGATCTTTGGTAAGCGAACTTTAATAAGCGATATTTGAATTCCTTGCGCTTTAATAATTATAAGACTAAATTTAAAAATTCTTTTCTTATCTAAAAGCCCATAGTTTATTCTATAATTTAAAAAAAAAATCTCAAAATTTTAATAGAAAATAAAAAAGTTATTCTATGTGTTAATAACGTATATCTATTTTTTTAATAATTACGGACGCTAATTTATTTACTCGCGATAACTTAGTCGATCTAATTAAAGAGCGTAGTAACTCTAAATTAATAATTAACTATATATATAAATTTAAGATTTTCAAGCTCAGCCCTATCTTATTCTATTATATATATTAATAAAAGAGTATATTTATTATTTATTAGCTTTATATCGAAGAACTTAATAAATAATTTATTTATTTCTTCTCTTTAAATTTTATAGTCTTCGTCTTCTTTTTCGCTATTATCTTCTTTTTATTAAATATTTATTTTATCTTAATCTTTATCTTATCTAATTTACTTATCGATTTAAAAGATTATTTCTTATTTAATTTAAATTATTATTATAGAAGTAAAATTAAAATCTTTTAATATTAAAAGTTAGTATTTTTAATTTTACGATAGATCTATCTTATTAAACTTCGATCGTATTATAATTTCATTTAATAGAGTTAATTAATATCGAGTAGAATATATATAATACACCGATTTTAAATCCTCGTTCCTCGGCCCGATCTGTCATATAGTCGCTAAACTCTCGTGATGATCGATTAATTATTAGATACTCTAATCTACTTACTAATCGTCGTTCTAGTATTCGCTTCGCTTATAAGCGAATAGTGAGACCACGATTAGAAGCAATACGCGTCCCACTCGTATATAAAGTAAGACCGCGGAGAATGCATGCTCACTTCAGCGCTAGATATCAAATCGGAACTGGACACTGGACAGGTAGGCCCTCTCCCGGGAGTTTAGCGTCCCTCTCCTACATAAATCGATAATCGGAAAGATAGTGGGGGGTGGGTAAGACCAGCCGGAGAATTTGCGCTGCAATGCACGGACCAATCTAGATAATACTACACATCCCCAGACGGCATCATGGAAACGCCTGGTGGTGTATTACCTTTCGTGCTCCCCGTGAACGATGCCTAATAACCGCAATGGCATCACAATTGACCTTAGAAGAAGTGGCCAATTACTACCAATCAAAGCAATCTGTTATAGTCGCAACCTCGGCGGTCTTCCTCATTCTCTGCAATGTGTTGATATTTGTTAGGATTCTCTCGCAATTGCGATTATCGAAGCGTTTTTTCGTTAACGATTTCGCTATTATCTTTACCGCGGTATAATATAAATCTTAATCTAGTATTATCGAAGACTAATAGATATAAAGCTTTATTTAGATATTATAGATACTTTATATTTAAATAATAGATTAAATCTTTTCGAGAAGATTAAGACGCGTTTTTAATTAATATAACTAGCTACGACTAACGATCTTAGTCTATATATTTATAGAGTTATAATCGAGAATTCTAAATCGTCTTAATATATAATCGCCCTATTTAAGATATATTTATATTTATCGTTAAATTATTATCTTAGCTAATATAAATTTCTACGTAAACTCTTTATCTTAACGCTATTCTTATTAATCTATACTTCTTAACTATTAAGATCTTACTATTATAGTTCTATCGCCGTATATTTCTTATTTACTAGCGATAGCTATTAATTACTTAATAGATAAATCTTATCTATATTATTCTTTAAGTAATTAGCTCTATCTTTTTCTATATCTTCTAGTATATATCGCCTCGTTTTAACTAATAACGTCTATATATCTTATTTAAGATTTCGTCGCTATCGCTAATAAAGAATTAATGTAACTCTGCTACGACTATATTAATAGCGTTATCTCTTATCTTTAACTTAATCTTCGACTTTAGAATTCTACTTCTATTAAATACGACTCTTTTACGACTTTAAATAGAAACTTATAGAAAGATCGACTTAATTATAGTCTTCTCGCTCGGCTTATTATAAGTATTCTAGCTGGAAATAATAAAGACGCGTATGAAAACTCGCTGATTTAGATCTTAAGTATATATATTTACGAAATTATTTAAATTTAGCTCGAGGTAACTATTTCTACTTTTAAAGATCTTACTTATAAGTTATAGTTCTTTTTATAGATATAATTATAATTAGATTAACTATTCTCTAGATACGAATATTACGTTTATTATATTTATCTTTATAAAAGAGAATATTACTATTATAATCGCTTATATATTACTTATTACGTCTTAATAGCGATATCTTCTTATAAGATTCTAGACTTCTCGAAATAAAGGTTCGGGCGATATATATATTTCGCTTAACTCGAGACGATTAGCCGATTTAGAGAATACTTAAGATACGAATTATAGTTAAGAATAGATCTATCGTAGCTTATAGAAGATTACTCGATAAGAAGAAGATAGCTCTAAGATTATAAAAGAAAGTTATATAAGAGTCGAGAGAAATAATAATATTAATTATTATTAAATAGAATCGATAGAGTATAAACGCTTACGTATCTTTTTAGAGTATATTTATTTATACTTATAGAATATCGAGTTTAGAAATATAACGCTTTCGAAGTTATAAGAAATTCTTTCTTATAGTAATTACTATTAGAATATACTATAGTACTATATAATAGATATTAGTTAAATTATCTTAGCGAAAACTATATAAGTAATCTTTATACTACTTTATAGAAAATTAATTCTTTATTCTCTTATAAATCTCGACTATAATCTTATAATAGTTCGAAAAGTTATTATTTTCGATCTTTACTTTTCGATTCTCTTATTCTTAAAATTAGCTTATTCGTTCTATATAGAACTATATTATTCGTATATTTAAATCGAATTTCGCTAAAAATATTATAGATTCTTCTTAACGATCGAAGGTAAGAATATTATTAACTCGACTTTTTAGCTTAAGCCTATCTCCTTCGTAACTTAAGTTTAAAATCTCTTTATACTTTCTATATTATATCGATAATTAATATCGTTTTCTATCGATATCGAATATTAATTTATATTAAGACTATTTATTTAATTATTAATAATTATTAAGTCTAGACGTTTATAGATTAGCGATACTAGACGCTTAGCTACTATAATTATATTATCTTAAGCTTATAAATATAAGAGCGAAGTCGCGTATACGATATCTATCTTATCTTTAATAATCTTAAAATCTTTATTATCTAATTCTATAGAATCTATTAAAATATTATTCGAAAGTATTTACGCTTATAGTTAATCTCGATCGCGAAATAATTCGTAGTTTAGATTAATAAATACGAGTTTTAGATTAAAGATATATAGCTATATAGCTACTATATCTTCTTTAAATATTAGAAAGCGAATCTCTTAATTAAAGTAGTAATTTACGTCGATAAAGAATATCTCTATTTAAAGATATAATAGAATATATAACTAGTAAAATAGCTTCGATAAGTTAAAGTCTAAGAATTAAACTTAATCGATATATACGTATAACTAGATATCGAAGATCTTATCTCGCTAAATTCTATATTAGATTTCTATTAATCGAAAAGATATAATATAGTATAAGATATTAATCTATTATATTATATTCTAATATAAT